GATACAGATATTTTCAGATTGGTGTTTTTTCTTCAGAAAAACAACTCCATGTTTGTGTTGATGTACCGTAAAGGAAGATAAAGATGATCATCCTCCCAATCTTTTACCATAGATAATCTAGATTTTGTATGAGGGGTCAGGTTAATGTTTGATACACTATATATTTCTGTTTTACATTTCCTACAAAGGCTTTACAATACCTTTAGATTGTGTTGTAGGGTAGGTAACCAATAGCAGTTTTAACGACAAGACCTAAAGGTGTTTCTATACATGTATTATGTGATTTATGGAACAGGTCTAGAAGTTTACACTTTGGTGCATATGTAAGCAAGCAAAGACAGGGTTTGATAAAATGTTTAATGGTGGTTGAAAGCATCTGTAAGCACTTTATTACTTTTATGTTAAATAGAATAAAATACACTTTTGCATAGTCTTCATAATCTTTTTTTCACTTTTATAGTCTAAAGAGTATATCACATACACTTTTGAAGTTAAAAGTGATAAAAAAAATTCCATATCTTTTTACCTAGCTAGTAGCCAGTACAGAGTGATCAGGTTTCACTGCTTCATGATCAAAGGTGTACAAAATATAATCCATTGATTTTTAAGAGCATCACATGTACACTGAGTTGTTCCAGTGAATGCTCACCAGATCATGATTACTGATGCGGGGTTGTCAGATTGTATATACTAAATGTGTATCATTACAAAGTGAAAATCTTTCGTTTCAAACAGATTGATTGAATGTATACAACACAAAAGTGTACTTTTGAACATGGTTTTCAAAAGCATGTTCTACATCAGTTATTATTCAAGATAAAACCTTGAAAAATTTCTGTTAATTTCATCAACATGATTCTCTGGCTAATGTCCGTCCTACATGCGTCAAATCAATGCCGTCCCTGTGACATCACAGTTGAACTAGAGATTGTGCCAAAGTCATCTGATGCTCGATTGTTTATATGTATGATTCCTTTTTCTCCCACCCTTTACAGGTGAGTCTCCCGTTTTAGCTTGGAAAGATCAGCTTGTCACACCCTCAAGGTAGGGGAAGATTCTATTAGTCATGCGCTAAACATTGACAGTTAAATATTACTATTGTTATTCTTTATTTCTAATACTTACTCGAGTACCCGGGGTCAAAATCTTCAACACTCCATCATGCCATGTTTTTGCTTTCTTTAGTTTTTGATGGGTATATAGCACCTGTATTAACAAAAATAACATAACACTCAAAAAATGTATCATGTCTTGGGATCTAATAGGGAAATAACCCTAATTAGCTTATCCCCCATCCCTTTCCTTTCATATTTCCACAAATAAATTAATTAGCTTATCCCCCATCCCTTTCCTTTCATATTTCCACAAATAAATGAGTTTTAAGAAAATTCGTCAAAATCTGAGGGAGGTGATCTGTGGACAAATATTGTTGACAGACGACCCAATGAAATAAATTACCCATCAATTTTGACAGGCTTAATGAAATCATTGACAAGAATACCTTCAATAGGATTACAAGTTAACTTTTGAACCAGCTCACAATTGTTTGCAAGTGGAATAAAATCAAAATGGAAAAATCAGAAACCTAGCAATTTTGATTTACAGTAAGTTATTGTAATTTTACAATAAGGAACGCACGAAGCAGGCAAAAAAATAAAATGAAACAACTCAAAAATAAATAAAACAAAAACAATCAAAATAAGAAACAAAACAAAAGAACAAACAAAACAAAATAAACCGAAAACAAATCTAAAACAAAAGTCTAAGATTCAGAACATTACACTTAAGATTTAAGATAAATCACATTTTTCTTTGATTCCATTGTATATAACAATGATAAGATATTTTACATCAATGGTCAAAATCCATCTTCAAAATAATAATCAGTTTTGTTGCCTCAGGCTAGAGGTCATGATGTGGAAATCCAACCTTTACTGTGTTTATAAGATAAAGAGTGCTCAGTTATGTTTATATTGGAGTATTTAATCAGTATTCATATTGGTTGAGTGTTTTATAGTATCTGATATTTGTAATTTCAGTTATATTCAAAATTATAGTAAAAGACTTTAACAACATCAAAAGAAATTATAAGTTTCCATATACGCAGTTATAAATCTGAAAAAGCTGTCTTTAAACACAAAAAAAGTCAACTAAGGGGAATTAATGATAATGATTCCACCAAAATATAACACACATTTTATGATTTACTGTACATGTGTGAAAACTATATGTTGACTCTGCAATTGGAGGTAACTCGTAAGTTTGTGTATTTCATCTTTAACATTTAAAATGTTGATAGCATTCGTGTGTATTACAGTATCAAATTGTATTAATTATGGAGTAGAATATCTAATAAATATGTTATATTGCTAAAGTTGTGGCAGTTACAGAGAAAATCCTGGAATTTGAGTGCAGTGGGTCATTTCAGCAAATTTGAAGTCAATATCAAAATTAAGATGGGCCATTCTATGTAAAAGAAAAAGAAAATTAAAACATGGAGGGGTCAATTTCAGTGTTGAAGGGTCCATGGCCCCCGCCATGATAATCGCTGCAGTTAGAGATCATTTAATTGTTATGCAGATGTAATTATAAGATAATATGATGTTTTGATGCATAACAAGAGATGTTAACATACAAAGTATGTAGTCAGTCAAAATTTTGAGATGTCCACACCAAATGACACTATCATAGTTTGATTGGTATCTCAACTGTTTCCATGTTAATCTTGGGACTAAGTCACCATGGGCAAGGATAGTCCCTCGAGACAACCATTGTAGCATGAGTCAGAGTGCATTAGTCTGTTAAATCTTCCCCAGAAATTGTATATTTATTGAGTAGGGACCTCAAATACTTTCAGGTAAGAAAAAACTAAGTCCCCAGGAGCTGGTAGACCTATAGGACCCCTTGGTCAATTATGCAAAGTTAAGTCCCTTGACCCAAGGATGCTCTTGATCAATTTTGATTAAAACCTATCATCTATAAGAAGGTGAAGGGTTTTAAATATTAAATATATTTCCCCTATTGGGTCCCTCTCTTCTGCCCCCTAGGAGATCACACCCTGCACTTATCCTTTATTATCAAACATTGAATTCACTTTGCCCAAGCTAAAGGATGCAATTTAATTGATGAAAAATCCCTCCATCACTACAGAAAAAGGATGTGAACGATTGATCTCTATTCCCCCCTCCTTGACCCTGCTTCCTTTTTGGATGGGGCTCGGCACACCCTTTGTTGAATCTCCCATGCATGGATGACTAGTACCATTTTAAATGAAAAAGTTGATGGACAGATGACAGGAAGATGACAGATGCTGTGCCAAAACATTACTGATAAATGAAAACTATATTTTGTTTCTAATCAAAACATACAACACATTCCGTATCCATCATAGATGTAGATAACGCAGCAACAGGTCATCCATCGCCAACAGTTATACATGCATATATACTGTACCAGCTTCCATTCCTTTAATGTGATGATCACGGTTTAAAATCTGCAAATAAATAATTAATCAATGTCATAAAAAAACATGTACAATGAACAATTCATATGAATTTCGTTTATATCATATAATACAAAAAATCCCTTCCATGACCCTTTTTTAGTTTTGCTTAGCGTACATTTAAGAATTGTCAACTAATACAATTATAGTTGGAAGATAACCTGTATGTGGACAAGAGTTTTTGAGGAAGAGCGAGTGGAGTTACAATGTAACAGTATGTATTTCAAGATTGGAAGAGACAAGATCAGAAAACGTGGAGCTCTGCTGAAAACTCTGAAGCAATGAACCATTAATTATTAGCTGGCAGTATTATCATAAAATATCAAGCAGATAAACTGAATATTCTGTTTATTATATCATAGTTTCATTGACTATATACTGGTACGTTTGGTGCATGGTTATAGCACTACCATTGATTCCTGCCATTTGTACTAAAAATCACAAACATTTCAAGATATTCCCCATGGGGTTCCAGGTGTTTATAAAAGTTGATTTATTACAGTCGACATTTACACTATTAAAATACAAATATGTACCAACAATGAATGTGCATGTGATGTAAGTTTATTTGTGCATATTTTAATGATCATGACCCCCAATTTACCAGGTCGAGTACACTCTGCCGATTGAGCTACATCAGGGATGTGTAGTGGACACATCCCTGGCTACATGTATATAGCTGTAAGACCTGAAATAGGTCTTTTAAATTTCAACAAATTTTATTGGACAAAAAAATGAAAAATTGGATGAGACAACAGGCTTAGCCTATATTTTAGTATATATATTTTTTAACTTTTAAGTCTTCTCCTACAAAAATGTATCTATAGCCATAGGTCTTTTGAGCTGTTTTCATGTGATTTTCTTTTTAAGGAAAACGAAACAAAGTCGCTTTTTAAAGAAGATTTTATCATTAGGTTGAAATCAAAAGACATTAAATATAAATATTCTTTTTAAAAAATAATGATGTAAAAAAATCGGAAATTTTACATTCATGAAAAATGAAAATAATTCAACATCTAAATGTAGGCCTATGCATTTTGTAGTCAACATTACCATAAACCTTTTAATATTGTTTTTTGCGACTTTGCTTTAATTTAATGAAAATTGAAATCTGAGAAAAAATTAGCTCAATACAGCTATGATGTATAGGTGAATATGTACTCCACCTGTTCAGCAGTTCACAACAGGATTTTCGTGTAATATGTCGATCATCTTTGAAGTTAAACCTAACTGTTACCCGTTGTAAACTGCACTGCATGCCACATGTGAAAGTTCATATAGCGTCTATAATTTTACAAGAAATATGCCATGAATCCTTTCCGATTTGTTGACCGTTATCTTGGAGAATGCGTGTTTTATGTCACTTTGTTTTTATTGCAGTAATTTGTAAATAATAATTACCGCCATTTTTATATCAACATTGTCATGTCGGCGCTTCTGTTCAAGTGAATTATATCATTGGTTTAACAAACATTTGTGTGACTCAGAATAATAAAAATCAAAACGTAAACATGGCAGATGACAGGTTAGTTGCAATCGTCCTGTTTGCGATTGCAGCTTCGGTTACATGTGATGTCAAAGTGAACGGTAAGACATTGTTTAGTGACGGCATAATGGATAACTAAGTGTAAGAATTTACTATATAATATTGAGAGGTAACCGTGACAGATGACGTGGCAATTGCATCAACTGAGACCGTTGATGATCAATTGATGTGGCAGCTACACTTACACCGTACATCTAGTGGCCCGGCCGTCACGCGTCAACGTCTACGGTTATAATCACCTCCCAATCACACCCAAGGTACACGAGAATATAAAAATGCCACCTGAAGGTGGGTATAGCGTTTTCACTGAGTGTTCATCTAAACGGCTAGAGCACACAATAATACTATATATACTTAGACCATACCGTCTTTTTTTTACTGTTTCAAGTTTTATTCAAACTTCGGGCCATTGGCCCATCAGTATACAAAACATTTTTTTTAAACAAATCATGGACAATGTACAGAGGATGAAAACAATCATATTCCATTATAATACCCTTAATTTGTTTGCCTCATATATGAATTTTCCTAGTATACACAATTCTTTAATATTATGGACACTCAATAACTGGACGACTTTAAACACAGATGGTTTTTTCCAATAATAGCTTTTGATAAAACGAGATCTGAGATTTTGGAATTTAGAACAGACCAATAAAAAATGAAATTCGTCCTCTAATTCAGAGGGGGAGTTACACTGTTTACAATATCTACGTTCTCTAGGTATATTATTATACCTTCCAACTTCTATAGCTAAAGAATGGGTAGATGTACGTATTCGAGTTAAACAAATGCGATATTTCTTTGGTATATATTTTGTGAGGTAAAATTGTAATGTTTCTCCAAAATCTATTATATGTTTATACAATAAACATTTTGGAGAGTTTTCCACTGTGGCCCTTAGGGATTGTATGCCTTGATCAAAAATTCTTTGTTTTATCAATGGTAATAACAGATTTTGCTGAGAGATGCATGGATTTAACCAAACATCACTAAGACCTAGATTGTTTAATTCATCTCTTACTGCTATAGCCCAGTTGAAATCATTTCTACTACAACATTGTAATAAAAACCTATAGGAAGTTGATATAATACAATTTTCAGATTTTAATAATTTAAACCAATATTTTATCATTCTAATTTTTCTCATACAAACTAGAGGTAACCGTCCCAATTCAAGATATACCATGTTGTTATTGGCCGATTTCTTCACTTTTAGTAGTTTCTTACAAAAATGTAAATGTACATGTTCTATCTCTGGAGCTTTGTGCATACACCAAATTTCACTTGCATAGAAAAGGATACTGCTTACATATGTATCGAAAAGATGGAGCATAGTTTTTACATTTAAGTTTAATGATGAACACTTTGCAAATAATGCAAACATAGCTTTTCGTCCTTGGCTAGCTAATTGTTTTTGTATAGATGTGAATTTATTGTTGTAATTTAAAATAACACCTAGGTAAGGAAATTGATCCACACATTCAACCTTACTTCCTTTGTAATACCATTTTTCCTCATTATGCAATCTTCCACCTTTTCTAAAAACTACAATTTTTGTCTTTTCAGCATTTACAGTTAAATTCCATTCAGTACAATATTTTTCTAAATTATCAAGCATATCTTGGAGACCTTCTACAGTCTCGGAGAATAATACCAGATCATCAGCATATAGCATCAGATATAAACTGAGTTCCTCAAACTCATAACTACCCTTGCAATTTTGTATAAAATATGATTCAAAATCATTTATATACATAGAAAAAAATATCGGTGACAGAATTTCACCCTGTAATAATCCAACCCTGTTAAGAAAAAAATCTGACAACTTTCCATCTAATTTAACACAAGATTTAACATGAGAGTACATAGACCTTACAACTTGTAATAGCTTTCCTCTTATACCAAGTTTTGATAGCTTATTCCATAAATTTATTCTATTTACCATATCAAATGCTTTACGAAAATCGACAAAGCAACAATACAATCTTTTCTTATTAATAAATGATTTGGATATAATAGAATGTAAACAAAATATAGCATCTACTGTACTAAGACCAGGTCTAAACCCAAATTGAGCATCAGTTATTACATCATATGTTTCTGACCATTTTAAAAGTCTATTGTTTAAAACAGAAGTGAATAATTTTCCTAAACAACTTACTATACTTATACCTCTAAAATTGTTAGGGTCAGTTAGGTCACCCTTTTTATGTACCGGTGTAATTACAGCAACTGCCCAATCAGCAGGATAGAGACCAGAGTCCAATATATTGTTAAAAAGTTTACACAAAATAGGTAATAAAATATCCCTCCCTACCAATAAACTTTCATTTAAGATGCAATCTATACCATGGGATTTTCCCTTCTTTAAATTACTGATTGCTTTGCAAATTTCATCAATAGTAATTACTTGGTCCAATTCTTCATATAGTGGTACTTCATCTGAATGATTGTGAGATTGATCAGGTTCTTGATCAGAGTTATCGTTCCTGGCCAAATTTTTGAAGTGCTCAAATAAAACTTTCAATTCAATATCTGGTTTCTTGGACTTGGTTGCAGTGAAATTTCTGTAAAATTCCTTAGGATTGTTAAATCTCATGTATTCAAGCATGTCGCCTTCACACTTTAAGTACATTCTTTTTTTCATAGATTCTTTTAATTTATAGTTCCTTTTCTTCTCCACAAGCAGAGCATGATTAAATACATTTTTTTCCTTATTGAAGTTATACAGAGCTGATTTGTACAAGTTGTACAAAGTTTTCAATTCCATATCAAACCATGGTTTATCAGTATTAAAATTGATTAACCCATCTCGGCATGTATAATTATGGTTATCTTGATTGGCATCACAATATTTAGTTAATTTTACAAGGAAAGGTTCCATAGATTTCATCAGTATTTCAGTAAAACTACTCACACTAGTGTTAATATCAGACTGACTAACAGCATCAGGGATGGTTACAGCAACACATAGGTTCTCCTGATTGTCAGACAACAGATTTAAAAAACAATCCTTAAAATCATCATTCCATTTGTATAATGGTTTACGCTCACCACTTTCAGTAACCTCATGTGTAACAGTGTGATAAATCTGACATTTTAATTGAATATGCAAAGGAGCATGGTCAGAAAATACATTAAAATTTGAAATTATAAATTGTTCCAGAATATTAAATAATGAATCTGTAATTATACAGTAATCTATAGTACTCATGCCGTTGTGTCCATAGTATGTAAAATCATTAGAATATCCTTGTTGGTCTCTTCCGTTACATATACACATATTACATGATTTACATAGCTGTATCAGGCGATTACCAAAAGTGTTAATTACTACATCTGGGTTATGCCTGATTTTTAAACCGTCATCAGGTTCATAATTTATTATATTGGAGAGGCAATTTTTAATACTGGAATGAATTACATCATTCTGGATATAATCAGGTAGGATACCTGTACGACTATTAAAATCTCCAACCATCATAATGTCCCCGAGGGAACTATAATTTACAATACCATTTTCAAGTTCAAAGAAAAGGTCACAGTTGTACATGTTATAATATACAGAACTAGAAGGTGGCATGTAAACACATGCTATATATAAATCATTTTGGTTATCAATAAGGGTTTTCGATACCTTTAACCATATGATTGAATCATATATTGATTCAATTACAGATACATAATTTACAAACACGTTTTTAACAAGAATACCGTCACAATGCATGTATATGCCCGGCACAAAAAAAAACACCCAATCTATACAGTATTCATGAACAGGTTTGGAGGAGACAGAGACGTGTAGTTTATATATATATATATGTGTATACGTCTGTGGTTGAGAGGATGCACTACAAAGCCAGTATATACATCTCTGATACACTGGAACTCCAAGGCATACTCTAATATCAAGAACCTTTAAAATCATCAAAACAAATTTAAGTTCTTATTTAAAAGAGTTTTATACCCATGGCCATATATTGCCTAGTTCTAGATAAGATACATGATACTGATATAGGCAAAGCCTGTTGTCTTATTCTTTTGTCAATACTGTTCAAATATCTCCTTTAATGTTAACTTATATGTTTGTATTATATATGTATTGTCAATAAAATACTTTTGAAATTGAAATAAGATACATGTAATTGTTGTCTGAGGACCTGTTTCTTTGCTGTACCTGTTTCTGTGCCCTGGCCTTTTGCACATTCTTGCCTGCAGTAAACACAAGATTATTGTATCAACTTTTTAGAATTTAATCAACTGTATTTTTCGGACCCAATGATAACATTGCAAATGGTATTAAAACAATTTGTATCAAATTGTATATAAGCTAGACAAAATGTTTTGAAAAAAATAAATCAAATCATATGATGTAAAAGTGTCGTTTTCTTAATATATTTATGTTTTTAAAGGAACATAATGATTTTACTGGTACACCCCTTTGCATAAAAAACATTTTTCTAATTTTATTTTCATCCTCCAACTTGAGGGGATGTTTTGGAGTTTCAGTGAACCCTCTAAAGTAAAAGGATTTTCCCAACCTGGTGAAGCCTCTTGTCTAGAGTGATAGAAATTTTGCTCAGATGAGTTGGTCTTTTCTCATATTCAATAAATTAAATGAATATTTCACTTTTTTTTCTACAGATGTGTCAACAATTGCTACCGGATCAGAAAATCCACCCATAGTTTCTGGAGTACCACTCCAAACAGATGGTATGATAACATCGGTAACGGTACAGGGCAAAAGTATGCCCTATAAGGAGACACAGCAAACAGGTGATGACCAGAAAAAGACTGAACAAGATACTGAAACACAAAAATCCTCACCACATATGCCTGTTAAGCAAGATCTACAAGAACAAAATTATTTGGAAAACAAACTTGAAAAACAAAATAGCAGTGAAAGTAGTCGTGAACAGCAAATCATGAAAAAACAGAATTCTGCACAACCAAACACACAACAGAATCTTGTACAATCAGTTCTGCAAGATCAGAATTTAGTCCCTCAGATACCACAAGAGCAGATTAATCCTGAACAACCAATTCCAAAAGGACAAAATCCTGTACAGCCAATTCCACCAGTGAAAAATCATGGACTACCAATTCCACAAGAGCAGAATCCTGTACAACCAATTACATCAGGGCAGAATCTTGTACAGCCAATTCCAAAAGAGCAGAATCCTGTACAACCAATTACATCAGGGCAGAATCCTGTACAATCAATTCCAAAAGAGCAGAATCCTATACAACCAATTACATCAGGGCAGAATCCTGTACAGCCAATTCCAAAAGAGCAGAATCCTGTACAACCAATTACATCAGGGCAGAATCCTGTGCAACCAATTACATCAGGGCAGAATCCTGTACAGCCAATTCCAAAAGAGCAGAATCCTGTACAGCCAATTCCAAAAGAACAGAATCTTGTACAAATACAACAATCAGGGCAAACTCCTTCACCTGTCCTTCCACAACAGAAGAATCCTATGCAAATAAATCCATCAGGACAGAGTCCTGTACAACTTACCACACAGGAAATGATTCCTGTACAACCAAATCCACCTGTACAGAATCCTTTACAATCCAGTCCACAGGAACAGATTCCTGTACAACCAAATCCACCTGTACAGAATCCTTTACAATTAAGTCCACAGGAACAGATTCCTGTACAACCAAATCCACCTGTACAGAATCCTTTACAATCAAGTCCACAGGAACAGATTCCTGTACAACCAAATCCACCTGTTCAGAATCCTTTACAATCCAGTCCACAGGATCAGATTCCTGTACAACCAAATCCACCTGTACAGAATCCTTTACAATCCAGTCCACAGGAACAGATTCCTGCGCATCCAGTTCCACAGAAGCAGAATCCAGTACAAGACATTTCACTGATACAAAAGACTATACAACCAAATCAAGCTGATTTAGATGGAAAAAATACAAGGGTGACTTCTTCATTGCAACAGGAAATAGAGACAAAAGATGACACAGATCAAAACCAAAACTTTGATTACAAGGGCAGTAAGATTTTCAGTCATGTAACAGGTGTACCACAAACTGATACTGCAAGAGAAATTATACATGGAATTTTAAATGAACAAAAGAACACAGTATCCACTGAAAATGACAAAAATGACAATAAACCTACTATGTATGATAAAGGATTTCCACCAGCACAAAAACATTCAGATATAGATATTCATGATGTAACGCAATTACAGGAGTGGATGGAGACAACCACAGAGTATTTCACAACTTCTGAACTAGTGGACAACATAAAACTGACAACCACAGAGTATTTCACAACTTCCAAACAGTTTAGAAATGATATTGACAATGTACCAGTGGACAACATAAAACTGACAACTGCAAGAAAACCATTCCTAGCTCTACAGCCAGGCCCCGTCATCCTCACCCCAGCACAGAGTAACAGAGTCCCTGACCCATCTGAGAAATTGTTTGTATCGGACACTACTTTAGCACTGTCATCTTATACAACAACAGCCTGGTCAACAAAAGAGGATGATAAAGGTGATGTATGTTTACACCTGATGAAAAGATTGTATTTTTATGATATTTTCATCTTCTGTCACTACTTAATTAAATTATCACTTTGAAATAGAAATAGATATCTGAAACATCTTCGAAATCTGTTGTGTTATATCTGCTGTCATTTCGTTTTAAGAAGCTGCTGGTTCAAATGTTATCAAGGTAATAAATACAACATTATATGCCATACGAAATATTACATGGATAATCAACATTTGAGATTGTTTTTAAATGATATCAATTTTACTTAATCTGAGATTATCTGATGTGTTAACACATTGATTTACACAGATACTCTGCAAGCAAAAGACAACTTTTATGAAGGTCTTGATCTCTGGGATGATGCAGATGAAGATGAATTTCCTACAGGTAGTTGAACTCAATTATGTTCACATGATTACATGCATCTGTGATACAGTTATTCTTATTAATATACCACTACCAGTACTAGTCTTATTGTTCCACTATCCATCCAGTGCTCGGAAACATACTTCTCTAGAATTTTCTTTTAAAAATTGTCAGCTGTAAATTGTGGGACTCCCTGAATCACTGAATGCTCAAACAGTGACAGTTTGTGATCTTTTCAGCACTATTTTTTATTTATTTTTTATTCTAAATATATTTCTGACAGATGATAGCCAACCCTTATCAGCTGACAGGGATGATGATTGGAATTTCTTCATGGGTAAGTATGTTTATGGATGTCCTACCTCCCCTATCTTGGTGAAAATTTGTACATGTGTGTATATATACAGCCTTTTTAGCTCACCTGGCCCGAAGGGCCAAGTGAGCTTATGGCATGGTGCGATTCAGTAACCAAAAGGCCTAGGGTGATGATATTTGGCCAGTTACATGCTGGGATGAAGGGCTACCAAGTTTGTTCAAATAAATGACCTTCATCATTTTTCAAGGTCACAAGGGTCAAATATGTTGAAAACATTTAAACAACTTCTTCTGAATAACCAAGAGGCCTAGGGTGATGACATTTGGCCATTAACATGCTGGGATGAAGGGTTACCAAGTTTGTTCAAATGAATAACCTTCGCCCATATTCAAGGTCACCGTGGTCAATATATGTTTAAACCTTTAAATGATTTGTTCTGTATAACCAAAAGTCCAGGGTAATGATATTTTGCTAGAAGCATGCTGCGTTGGAAGACTATAAATTCTGTTCAACCTAATATCCTTGTTCGACATTCAAGGTTACTGGTGTCATATGTTTAAATATTTTGATAGGTTCTTATTAATCAAACACCAATATTCTGCCTGTAGTTGTATTTTAGTCCACTTTTAAGATAACAAGTGTGAAACTAATACCAGGTGAGCGATTCAGGCCCATTGGGCCTCTTGTTTGATATCCCAGCCTTTGTAGTTATTCCGAGGCAGATGAAGTACCAGTATATACTGATTGTGGGGCCAGCATGCATCTGTACGTTTGTAACAGGAAAACGTTCGTGACATGTGGTGTACTTTATATATATAGACTAAGTCTTTCCCTGAACATAGGTGTAACAGATGTTTGTATGGATTTCCAATAAAAACCTCTGTGTATACATCGGTATATGTATAAATATTTGTTTTTTTTCAATAGATTTTCCTTTCCTATTCATAAGAAACAGGGGTGAATATTTTCAGTTTAAATCTGAAATACATATATTGTAGAATAAAGATGAAAGCATGTTTTATTTAATCAATAAAAAAAATGGACACAACTTATAACAACTATGATAAGATGTAGTCTTCCATATATCAAATATACAGTGATATATACAGCAGGTGTCTACAGTGGTGACGTTAAATTAAAAACATAAAATATAAGAATAAATGTTGTAACAGTGCCAATAGCTCATGGGGAAAAAATGTAAATGGTTTGTGCCATTAAATTATATACTTCATACTAACTTCAAATGAATACACATTTAAAAAACATTTTAGAGAAATATGCCACTACATGTACAGATTGCCCAAATCTTAAGTTAGAACACTTTTAGAAATCAATCTTAAATGATAAAACCAAGATCTCTCAGCTAGCTATAGCTGACTGGAGCTGATGTAAATGATCAATGAACACATCTACTTGGACACATGATCTAGAATACATATAAGTCTGACGCACCATGTGTTCTTGCCATAAGATTAATCTGTTTTTTATTCCCATTTTTTCATAGGAGAAAAGCTGATTCCTAAGGGGAAGGCACTGGGAGACTCCTATAGACCATCAATGGAGTCACTTGGAGGTAGGTGATCTACATGCTTCATGTATACTTTTATTATCGTTATGTAAAAATTCTTACAACACATTAATAGTGTAAACTGTCAACATTGAACACTGTCTAATCCAGAACAAGTATAAACCCTCCCATTGACCTAGATATCTGACCTGCCTAAACTGTACACTGTCTAATCCAGAACAAGTATAAACCCTCCCATTGAACTAGATTTGAATTAGATATCTGACCTGCCTAAACTGAACACTGTCTAATCCAGAACAAGTATAAACCCTCCCATTGACCTAGATATCTGACCTGCCTAAACTGTACACTGTCTAATCCAGAACAAGTATAAACCCTCCTATTGAACTAGATTTCTGACCTGCCTAAACTGAACACTGTATGTAATACTTGTATAAATTAAACCATACCAGTGAACTAGATCTGTACCTTGTGTCACCTGTGCAAATTGTATGCTGTATAATTAAATAATACCTAAATTAAACTCTAATATAGAATTAGATCTCTGTTTCACCTTCCTTAACTGAACACTGTAAAATACAGTACCTGTATGAATTAAACCCTAATATCAAATAAGATCTCTGTTTTACCTGCCTTAACTTAAACCTGTGAAATACAGTACCTGTATAAATTAAACCCTAATATTGAATTAGATCTGTACTACCTGTCTAAACTCAACACTGTATAATACAGTACCTGTATAAACTAACCTGTATATTGAATGATATTTCTGTTTGACCTGCCTTAACTGAACTCTGTTTAATACAGTACCTGTTAAAATTAAACCCTTACCTATATTGAAATTAGATCACTTTGTTTCCTGTCTAAACTGTTCATATTAAACACTGTGCCTGTAAAAAAAACAGATTACTAAATACAATCTCTGTGTCAATTTACATGTACAATTTACCTCAGTAGTGTATAAAATCAGTGTAATTCTCAATTGTATTTATTATGTAATTAATTGAAATATTGATAACAAATAAAATGTTAAATAGTTCACTGCAAAATGTATACCACAAGAAAATCCTCATCTATGTATATCATGTAGTTATTGGTCAAATATCATGAAAATTAATGATTCCAAAATGTCATTTTCAGTTGTAAGCAATTAGTTATGAGGTACACTATATTGAGTCCTGTGAGGTTTGATACCCAAGGAACATCAATAAAAATATCTTTTTCTTTTTTATGTATAATTTTTACATTTTGACCTCTGATGACCTTTGTTTCGGTGCAGATGAGAAGGGTTACCCCCCTCCCAAGGAAGGCCTTGTCACATCCAGCCTGCACAACAAGAATGAGGACATTAACATAAAGATGGACATGATAGCCTACTACAGCTGGATCCTCTTCATCACTCTCCTTATCTTTGCCATCTTCATATTTGCCAGACAGAGACAAAAGGTATCAGGAAATTGGTTACCATTACAGTGGTGTACCATTTCATATTTAACTCATTTACCCCTGAAGACACATTTGAACTCTTCCAATTCAGAGGTTGGAATAGTTCATTATGGAATTCCAGGGTTGAATGAGTTAAAGTACTAGTCCACCATCAGATTTTGAAAAGATCTACTAGCCTGACATATATTTTCAAAGTAAATAATGCAAATTTCCATTAGTCTAACATTAGTCTACTAGGCGAGGGGTGTTTGGTAAGTGGAATTGTATTTCCCTGCCAAGATTGTTCCTGTCATGTAGTAAAGTTTAACAATACAGAATGCTTTTTAGCTTATAAACTTTTGATAATTTACCTAAAACTTAAAATGCTCAATTGCATGATTTGTTCCAGGCCAGTTAGATTGGGATTGGCCACTGATAGGTAGCAGTTTTAAATACTAGCCTAAGTCTACAAATGGACTGCTGATATTTCCTAATAGGAATATAAAGTTGACATGTGTTAATTAATATTTCATTTCAGATTCTAATTACTATAGAAAGTACACATTATATACTCAAAAGAATTGTTTACCTAGCATAAGAACTGCAGGTGCCATGTTCAAAGTTTGATAAACTTGTTAGAGTTAATATATATTTTGAAATAAAAGGATTGTTTTTATTTCCAGTTTGGTTACATTCTAAAGTGGGGACAAAGTAGAAGAAATTATGGCCGCCCATCGGATGCCGAGGAAGGGAAGAATTTGATGAAGAACATCTACACATGATACTTGCTGTACTTATCCCCAGGAACATCAGTTTTCTGTCAAGGTGTGTCAGGGTTAATTTTTAATCCAGGGTGCTACCTCGTTATGAATTCCTTATGCCTCTTCATGTCTTATAGTGAGACCAGAACTGTTCTCGCTTTTAACAAATGACTTATACTCAACCATGACATAATTTGGAGACTATTTCTCAAATACAGGATACTGCCGGAGGTGCATAATACTTTTGTTATGAGTTTCTATCGGAGCTAACGATCATATCGGTAGTTATCCTGAAATAAATCCAGGGAGCGAGCACATAATCTCTGATTCATAGTTGGGAAGGGTTTATTACAAGACAATGAAAAGCATCTGCTGGCTTTTTTTCTTATCTGCAATAGATTTGGATGGGATTATTACCAGGCATGGGTTTATTGCCAGAGAAATACAGTAAATGTTATTTTCTCTTGGTTCTGGTACAAACATTACCATACTGTGAGGTCTGAAATGCAGAATTGTTCAACAAAACCTTTACATTTTCCTAAAGTACTTAAAAAAATTAGTTTTTTAATATATTGTTCCTTTTACCATCTTTTTTTGGGTAAATAAAAATAAAACTTGATGAAAAGTCATCCGTTTAGTTTTAGCTTTTTCATGTGAGACTCATAATTAATATTTTTGAATGCAAGAAACAAATTGTTATCTTTCTTATATCTAAATCATTGTGAAAAATGGCAGATTCCCAATTAAAAGTTCATCTTTTTGTTGCAATGCTGTAGATCTGATTGAGTATGCAAGTATATACAAAGTCCAAGATACATGTATTCTATAGTTGCTAGTTTTTGCAGGGGAATCAATTTCGCCAATGCAGGATGACATTAGTATTCATGAGTTAAGATATAAGGAATCTTTCAGATACTGTGTACTACAAATGTATTGGATTAATAGAATCCATCCCTGATGTGAGATATGGATAAGGTCATTCAAACCCAAAGGATGAAATATTGAGCAGGAGACCCGAGGCTTTGCTGTGGGTCTTCTGCTCAATTTAAACATGAGAAATAAGATCAAGATCCCTATTGGTGATTGTTTACACTAGAACAAATTAAAAGCTCCAGTACTTCAATCTTTTACCTGAAGTTTATATTACTGAACAGCCTCATTCAGACATTGAATTATTTTGTTTTGTATCTTAAACACAAAATCATATTTTTTTCTGTACTAAACATTATGATTTGTTTTTCTCCAAAAATGGAAATAGGATCCAAGAGAAAATATTACACAAATACTTTTGAGAGATTCACAAACCACTATCCTGATGAAAATTCTCGCTTTTATTGAGATGAGTTTGCACTGTCCTCAGAAAATATGTACAATGTTATTAAAATATAGGAAAGATTAGTTGATTTTTTTTAAAATACCAAAGTAAAAATTCAAATATGCCTCAAAGCAAAAATACAGTTTATGTGTTCTCCCCTTGCACTATAAATTCGAAACTAATTTTATAGATATTTTTTTTTCTTTTCTGTAAGGATTTTTGTTGTTGTTGAGAGTTTGTTAATTATTTCAGGAATCATTCATATGTTAAAATAATTCTTTTCTTTCCTGGTCATGCATATAATTTTTGGTACATTAGTTTTCAACTAAATTGGAAGAAAACTTTTATTGCAGAAAATGTTGTTTAATCCAGTATACAAACCTAGCTGCCTTCAAACATTTTTACACATACAACTTCGTGTATTATAGTATACGAATATTAATTGGGATATATATTGATCATGGTTTCATGTATAAATCATAAAATATTTGGGGTTTTATTATGTCAGACAGAAGACGGCTTCAATATAATTATAGCACCTCATCACTAAAAAGGTAATATAAGTCTGTGATTTTAATGTTTGTTTTCATGTGCTTCATTTTAATTGTGGGTATTTGCTTAAAATACATTCATTATGTATATATATTCTTGTGCCATTATTATAACTGTTTATTTGCTTTAATCCACCTAAGACATAATAGGAAAGCTTTTTAAACATGTTTTAGAGTTGAAGCATTTTTTTCAAGTGTTATAATGAATTCAGACAAAATAAAATGTACATTTGTATTAATAAAATAATTTTCAACAATTCCACAGTGACCCCTCCCCTTACTACTATAATCAATGGTGCCCAGCAATATGTATTGGAATTGTACAGCATCCGTAAGGTGCTAGTAAAATACATACAGTAGCTACAAGGATGTGTGCAATGTAATCCAATCAATGTATATATCTATCACAGTGATGAGGTCTAAACCCATGGCCAGTGGATCATCACTTTAAGATTAAAAAGAAATTTTTAAGTATTTATGTAATTGTCTTTCATAGAATTTTTATTTGTCTGTGTACATGTTAAGAGACTTCGATAGTCAACGTACATGTTTAGAGGCTTTGTTTGTCTAGTTACTTGTTCAGAGATTTCATTTGCCTATGTTCTTGTTTAGAGATTTTCATATGTCATAGTAAATGTTAAGCGATTTCATTTGTCAAAGTACATGTTAAGATATTTTTATAACAGTTGATTTGATCATTTTCACAGTCCTTGCTGAGATTGTTATCATCTTGTTTAAACAATGCCTACTAGAATGAGAATGTTGTCTCTGTTGAATATAGTTCTTTGATGGAACTAGTCATTATACATGTACCAAACGGTTGGAGAGATAATATCATTTGTGATAGTTATATTCCAACATACATATTTTGGTTTTTTTATTAAAACACATCAGTGTGTTTTATAAAGAATGTCAGAATCTCAAATGTCCTTTTACATTAAACATTGTTATATATATATTATCTGTTTTTAAAATTCAGTTACAAGGCTTTTGACCTTATACAATGTACAAATGTTATTTATTAGTTGTATCAATAACATTGTTACTATATGTGGTATCCCAGATCATTTTACCAATATGTTGTATCCGTGTACATTGTATACGTTTTTATTTGTGGCAGTGGTTTGCTAAACCATGATTTGAAATTTATGAAGAAAATACTGATTTTTACAGGAAACATCAAACACTGAATATCAATATTTGAACGTATTAACTGTATTTATTTCATTTCTGAAGTTTCTTTTTATTTCATTCATTCATTTTAATTGAAACTGGGTCTTTTAAACATTTATTCTTATCAAGTCTTATCAAGTACACACATTGGTGAGTTAATTTAATGATTTCATATAAAATTGTTGTAAACTTTTATTGTTTTTAGTGGGTTTATTTGCAAGGTTTTATTGAATAAAAGCTTTTATGCATTTACAAAGTTACCAAGGTGGTAATTGAGTTACTTCCCTTACCACCGAAAATCACAAAACTGAAAATGATGTCGGAGATCTAAGAATTGGAATGGAACAACCTTTGTCTTCAAGTAAGTGTATATAGGGACTTTGTACACTCTAACATATGCCAGATAGCTGTAAGCTCTACAAGCTCCTCTCAGCAATATGTTTAGCTTATTCCTTTATATGTATTTTTTAGAAAATCGTATGCAATTAATGTTACTTGCAAAGAGTCTTGTGAACGCATCAAAGAAGACGAAAATGTGAAATGAGATGGGGGCACTGGACGAAGGGTGTTGATTTTGATAACAAATGCAAACCACCACTTTGGTCCGCAAAACGATTAAACATGTACAGATAAGATTAAACCTCACTTGAATAAGAAAGAAAAATACACCAAGTAAAGCGCCCATACAAAAGAAAAAATCTAACTCAAAGCCTGGAGGAACTGAGGAGACTCTAAAACAAAAGATAATCTACCATAAACCTCCACATAAAAGCCGGAAATCAGGTGCTTCAGAAGAGTTAGACTTCCGGCACCAGGTACTTGTTCACTAAATCAGAGACGTATATGTGATATATACGTCTCTGATTAAATCGAACAGGATGCAATTTTATTACCATCCTTACAATATTTGAGGATCTAGTAAAGAGGTTATTTACAGTAAAGGATCTTGGATTCACTTCTCAACAGAGTATCAACTTAACCTTTAACATATTCAGACGTCATTTTAAATAATGAAAAAAAAGAGAACAATTTGGTGATCAAATGAGGCACACCTGTCAATCCGCTATGGACGAGCTAATACGGTTAGGAGAATTCATTAAAACACTAAACGGGACAATAAAATCGTGAATGTCTGGTATGAGACTGGGATGACCAAATTACAAAAATATCATTTGAAGTGTTTGATACAGATCGCATTCTTTGGACAAAGGGTTTCTACAACACCCTCTGTTTGCGATCAGAAATGGGTGCCGTGTTGTTCTTGGACCTACAATTCCGGGTTTGACCCGAGCCAGTGCGTTACAAGCCATGTACAAATGAGAACTGTGATTCGCCAGGCTAGCGACCAATTGTCAGTTTATGGTGTATTTCGCGTTCATTATTCAACGGACTGTAACACTGTTATGGCGTTCTGTATTTACACTGTAAACTGAAATTCTTCGTTTTTTTTTTATACATCTAGCTGTTTCCCCTATACTCCCCCAGACGTCTCTACATTAGACACGATGTTCTGTTCGTTCCTTGTTATGGCGACATACCCGTGTGCGTTACCTTCAGTATCACGTTTTAACTTAATCCTAAGATATTTTTTTAACCCGATTCAAATGATCACAAAACCAACACAGTTGATATAGTAGGGACATGTCGTAGCCCAAAGCATTTTCAGCAGAGCAAAACATTTGTTCTTTTGTTCCTTGCATCGATTTCATTGCTAACATTGTTATGGAATTAGTAAAAACGAAACTTTTGTTAAAATCTGATAAGATGAACGTTGTCATATTATTTATTAATGCTTTTTTTAGATTGTGTTGATTGAATATTGACAATGAAATTTGACGTTTTCTCATTTAAATTATAACGGGTGATACGTTTCATCTTTGCAAAAGTGTCTTTTGACATTGATAAAAGCTTTACTAATAACCGTCTGCAAGCTGTATGATTCCTATTTGACCTCATCAGGGAGGGACAATGATCGGATCTGAAATAGCTTTCTGGAATGTGCAGAGAATGTGTCCAATGTTAATGTTCCACGAATAACTCTTTCGGTAATCCACATAAGTTTGTTTATGGTGCTAAAGCAAAACAAGTTAGATAAGTAGGAAAAAGCTATATACACAAATAGCAGTTTTTTGAAGGAAGGGAAATTTAGCGATTTTTATGGATAGTCATATAAATCACCACATGTTATCATCTTAAACTCGTACTAGAAAAAACCCAGATCGATCAGATGAATATTTTATTTTCCGAATTAGGCACTCAAAAATATATTGATTTTACCTAAGAAAGTGAAGCTTAATTATCAGGAACTAAATAATATATCAGAGGTATACACAAAGCACAATTCGGAAAAAAATACAATACAGAGATTGAATGGAAAAGCATAAAGTTTATCATTTAGGACACTTTGGTGGTTGATTTTGTGGTTCTCACAATAAAGACAAGTATATTAAATGGTAAATTGCATTATAGCTCTCCCATTACGAAGTACCACGGTGATCCTAATTGGCAGTGCTTTGTAATCTTGTTAACTTTTGCGAAAAAGACATCGCCTCCAAAACTACTGATCAGAAATGAAACCAAACTTTGACTTCGTCCGGTTGATAGAATTATGAAAGTTAGGTGTTTGACCCTCCTTAAGGACGAGAAGAAGGACAAAAAAGGGTCACATTAACTGATTTAATTTAAATGACATCTTCTTCTAAAATACTGGATAGGTTAAATTTGTGATTGAAGCTGAGATCAATCCGTATTCCTATACATGGACTGTTCCATTGGGGTACATGTAGTAGCATGTTAAGATGATGGTGATCACATGTTATAATAATAAAGGAACGGATCCTCCTTAGGGCGGAGGGGTTCAGTTGGAAAGAGATAAATTCGCCGGTCTGCTTTAAATTGTATTTCCTCCCGAACTACGAGGCTGGTTTAAACCAAATTATGATAATAGCATGCTGAGACGATGGGACGTGGCGTCAGGGCGCCGTTTAATGGTCTAATTGGGTGTTTTGCTTTAAATAGCATATCCTCCTGAATTCTTTGGCAAATTTCAACCTAGTTATGTCATACAATAATACAAATGTGATTGTGTTATTGTATTATTAATATCATGAATAGCACATGGGGATCAAAAGTTATACCAATTAAGGCGCTTACCCTCCGGGAGGTTCTACTGGTAACATTTAAACTAACGTGCAATAGTAGCTGTCTTAGCAATTAAGATAAATTGTTTTACAAATTAAGGAGTTAGCTTTCCCGAGGAATCACGGACGAGGTCAAAAAGTGTCTCATTAGTTTTGACGTTATCTTCAACCAAATATCTAGGAGTATAAAAAAATATATAAAAAAATGTAGCTAATTTTCTCTGGGGTTCTCCTAAACTTCTAAGATTTATAAATCTAGCTTCCAAAATAGCTAGATGAGTGATTCAAATTCCTCGTAGTTCCGGTAGTGATGATGAATCAAGAATTTAAAAACTCGTGAATGGCGTTCATGTAGAGAAACACACTTAAAATATCAAATTATCTCGAAAGACGCCACTATTGTATTTCAAGTATGAGCAACAATTTGTAATTAACCTGGAGAAAAAGAATACTATCTATATGCAAAAGAGCTAAGATTTTATATAACGCAATTATGTAAATTTCCATGTAAGATACAAAAACTTGCACCAATAAGAAGAAATATATTTGAACAGCCTTAAATATGTATGACGAGAAAGAATAAAACAGTAATATAAAGTGTCAATGTTAAACTTTCGGTATAATTGATTAGACTATTGACGATTACATAAACTGATGTGTATCAGTATCATTGTGTATCGATGGCAAACACTGACAGTAAGCTTTATAAATGTTTAGCTGAGTGAGGAACATCCAAAACAAGTTATGTTTCCATATTTTTATGTAAGAGAATGGAAGAATGTATCAACGAAGGAATAAACGCTATATTCAACATTTTACTTTGAACGGCTACTTCGAAGAATTAATAGAACAACAGACAACATTCAAACTCAAAATCGATAAAAATAGGGCAAACTATGTAAAACTAGAAACTATGTAAAACTAGGGCAAACTATGTAAAACAAGCGCAAACTATGTAAAACTAGGACAAACTATGAAAAACTAGGACAAACTATGTAAAACTAGGGCAAACTATGTGAAACTAGGACAAAATATGTAAAACTAGAAACTATGTAAAACTAGGGCAAACTATGTAAAACTAAGACAAACTATGTAAAACTAGAAACTATGTAAAATTAGGGCAAACTATGTAAAACTAAAGACTATGTAAAACTAGAAACTATGTAAAACTAGGGCACACTATGTAAAACTAAAGACTATGTAAAACTAGAAACTATGTAAAACTAGGACAAACTATGTAAAGCTAGGACAAACTATTTAAAACTAGAAACTATGTAAAACTAGGGCAAACCATGTTAAACTAGGACAACCTATGTAAAACTAGGGCAAACTATGTAAAACTAGAAACTATGTAAAGCTAGGACAAACTATGTAAAGCTAGGACAAACTATTTAAAACTAGAAACTATGTAAAACTAGGGCAAACTATGTAAAACAAGCGCAAACTATGTAAAACTAGGACAAACTATGTAAAGCTAGGACAAACTATGTAAAACTAGAAACTATGTAAAACAAGGCCAAACTATGTAAAACTAGGGCAAACTATGTAAAGCTAGGACAAACTATGTAAAACTAGAAACTATGTTAAACTAGGACAAACTATGTAAAGCTAGGACAAACTATTTAAAACTAGAAACTATGTAAAACTAGGGCAAACTGTGTAAAACTAGAAACTATGTAAAACTAGAAACTATGAAAAACTAGGGCAAACTATGTAAAACTAGGGCAAACTATGAAAAACTAGGACAAACTATGTAAAACTAGGGCAAACTATGTAAAGCTATGACAAACTATGTAAAACTAGGACAAACTATGTAAGACTAGGACAAACTATGTAAAACTAGGACAAACTATGTAA